CTAACAATCCCTGTCTCTGTGGAAAATATAAGGCTTAATATTTTCAGCAACACTTTTAATCTTTTGAAAAGCTTTATTTCTAAGCAGATAAAATATTTTTGTTTTATTTGCTGAGGTATTGTGTTAAAGTATGAATTGCCACCCAATGAAAACATTGACTAAATTTAAAGAATGTGAATTCATGGTCTAGTTTCATGTGAAGGGGACAGAGGAAAGTATCTGGGGCCACAGTTGCATTGATAGAGTCGAATGCCCCCTGTTTATTTTTCCCTGTGGTACTTACCCCACTTCCCACAGTGTATGCAGTTATTTACTTGTTTACCTTCTGTCTCCACCCTCTTAGACAGCAAGCTGCATGGGAGAAGGTACTTTACTTTGCTTCCAGATGTGTTCTCTGGCTCTCTAATGGGGAATGTCATGAAATTCATGTCTGAACAGTATTTAAAAGGGTTTGAAATATAAGGAAGAATACAGGAAAAGTATCCCAATGACGTCTTCCCTGGTATCTGGTCTCCTCTCTTATGCCTGAAGTACTATTTGGTATTTGTTTAATTTATATAAATGGCATGTGCTACATGCAATATTCCACTTCCTATCTTTTTCACTTGATGGTGTATTTTGGAGATTTATTTGTTTATTTCAAAAATATGTAGTTCTAGTTCAGTGGTTTCCGCCAGGGGAGTGATTTCAAGAGAGATATTTGGCAATGTGTGGAGACAGTTTTGATTGTCACATCTGTGGTCCTCATGCCATGTGGTGGATAGATGCCAGGTTTGCTGCTAAACACCCCACAATGCACAGGGTATCCCCCACAGCATAGAGTTATCTGGCCTGATCACGCTGAGGTTGAGAAACCCTGGGCTATTTCTTTTTTTATTTTTTTAAATCTGTGAAACAGTATTCCATTGATAGCATAGATCATATTTATTTTATCCATTCCCCAACTGGTGGACATATAGGTTGTTCCAATTCTTTGCTATGACTATGTGTGCTGCAAAGATCATCTTCACCAATGTCTTATGGCTGCACTCTCTGTTCTAGGAAACACTTCTAGATGCCACTCCGGAGTGGCTGGACCCTTTGGTTCCCCCAACATCACCTGGGATTCCAGTCCCATGCATCTTTACCAGCACTTTTAGCTTAACTTTTTAATTGTTGCCAATTTAAAAATAGTAGCTCGTTTTTAACAATTTTGCATTTCTTGATCATGAATAAGACCAGACAACAGGAATTATTCACACCCCAAAGCATTCTACAAAATTAGTGAAAATGTTTTTTTGTCAAGTACGTGCCACTTCATTTTGTTGACTCCCTACATCTGTGATATGCATTAACACACTGCATATTTTGGGAGAAGAGGCTTGACCATTTCTGCCAGTAGAGGTCACTGTCCCTCAGTGTTTCTCCGTGTGTGTGTGTGTGTGTGTGTGTGTGTGTGTGTGTGTGTGTGTGTGTGTGTGTGAACACTTCTACACTGTTGGTGGGAGTGTAAACTAGTACAACTTCTGTGGAAAACAGTTTGGTGATTCCTAAAAGATCTAAAAATCGACCTTCCATATGATCCTGCAATTCCCCTACTGGGAATATACCCGGAAGAATTTAAAACACTCTATAAAAAAGATACCTACACATGCATGTTTATCGCAGCATTATTCACAATAGCAAAAACATGGAACCAACCGTGCTGCCCATTGAAAGAGGACTAGATTTTAAAAATGCGGTACATATACACGATGGAATATTATGCAGCCATAAAGAAGGACAAAATTATGAACTTTGCAGCAACTTGGATATAATACTGAGTGATCTATCACAGAAACAAAGAACTGAGTACCACATGTTCTCACTCATAAGCGGACCTTAAACAATTACCATAATACTCCAAGAAAGGGATTGGCAGTAGTGGGAAACTGCCAGGGGGTGGGATTGGCCCCAGTGGGAAAATTCCCCGGGGCAGGGAAAACCTCATCAACAAGGGTGCCTGCATAATGAACATTTGTATACCTAACTCTGAATTGTACCCCACATCTTTAAAATTAAAAATTAAAAAAATAAAAACCTCCCTATCCCAAGGATTATTTGGCAATGCCTGTAGCCATTTTTTATTGTCACAGCTGTGGGTGTGTTACTGGCACCTAGTGGTTAGAAGGCCAGGGATGCTGCTAAACCCGTACAATGCACAGGACAAGGTATGATCTGGCTCCAAATGTCCATACTAAGTTGGAGAAACCATGGTGTAGAGTCTTTGAAAGAATATGAAAATCTCTATGATAATAAAGGAATTTATTATTATCATTTAAGAACAAACATTTAACCACGTAACTGGGCAAATCAGGGAGAAGCAAGACCTGTTTTCAGGGAGAAGGCAGGAGTGGGTGGGCAGGGAAAGGCAAGGGTCTGGAGAGCAACAGTCTCTTCAGTGTGGGCTCGCAAGGTAAGGACAGGTGGGCCCGGGGCTGGCAGGGAGCAGTGGGAAGTGACCTGCTGGTGTCAGCGGCTCCTGTGGTTGTAGAACAGCTTTCAGTAGGATGAACGAGCTGAAGGTTGGAGGTTCCAAGGGCGGTGGCGGGACCCTAACTCTTGGAACCCAGGGCCGGCAGGCCTGGTGTGCTCATAGACGGTTTTCCCCCACAAGGTGTGCCTGCGGGGTGCAAAAAAGCCCGAGGCTCTGGGGAGGCGCCGCGCCTGCTTCTGGCTCTCCGGTTGCGGCTCTGGGCCTGAGCCCCCGTAGTCACCGAGAGGAAGCCCATACAAGCTCTCTGGGCGCCGCGAAGCATTGATCTTGATGGTCACCAGGCTGCGGATGGGACAAGGATTCTGGCCCTGCCACAGCCACTTCCCGATGCAATTACGCTGGATTTCGGAATAGTAGGGCCGCTGGTTCTGGAGAGGCGGCCTCCAGGGAAAGCGTCTCCAGGCTTCGGGAACCATGGCTCTGCGGGTCTGGGCGTAGACCCAGTCGGGCGGCGCGGTGGGCAGGGGCTGGGTGCGGACCCAGCGAAACCCCTGCACGTAAGTGACACTGCAGTGATCCCTGGCTTGGGCGCGGTAGGCTGGCGTGGGCTGTTGGAGCTGGCGCTCCTTGGCAGGGGGCGGCAGTGAGGCCTGGGTCCACCCCAGGAGCCGGCTCAGGTAGCTGCCCATGACAGTGCTGCGGTGGTCGAGCCTTCGGGTGCAGATTTGGCTTCTGGAGATCCTGATCTCTGCGGCTGCAGAGGACAAGCGCGATGGCTCGGTGACCGTTGGTATCTGGACGCGAGGAAAGCACGCGAGACGTCGGGCCTCGGGACCCTCTGGCCACAGGGTCCCACACAGGCCAGGATGGCGCCCCGCGGACATTACGGGATGGGGTTGTGGGGGCGGTGCCCCTTGTTTTCTTCAGGACCAGGGACGCTCAAGCCATGCTTCCCATTGCTGGTCCCTGACACGTAGCTCTGGGCAGAGGGACCAGGCAGCTGCCTTTACTTTTGTACCTGAGCTTAAAGGCAGAAAATAGAACTTCTGCCAGGCCCTGAAATTGCAGATGCCCTTTGACCAAAACATGCATTCATCCATTATTGTGAAAATGAACATAATACACTTGGGTTCTCTTTTAAGGAAAAATAAATAACTCATTTACTCTTATCAGTAAAGGTGGTGTGTGTTTCATTCTCCTAGGGCGGATGTTAATGTCACATTTTGCAATTTAGCTATTTAGGAAATGGCGGAAGCCATCCAGGATTTATGTTTTAGCACTGGTAATGTTGATTTTATGTGGACTCATAACTTTCCACCCTCATACATCCATGTATAGATCGTTTTCTCTCTGAACACTAATGTCGTCATTTCTCTTTTCTAATGGTAATCCATGCATACAGAGTAGAGTGTCACATTTCCAATTTGCAGTTAAAAAGTATGTAACTACAAAATAAAGAGTTCAAAGACTGCTGGTGAATTGATTATAGTCCTTAAGTTTGGAGGTCTGTTCCAGGTAACTTAAAAGAAACTGTTCTTGGGAATTTTTTCCTCAAAAGTACGTACAGAAGACACCTATTCGGCTGGTCCCAGTGCTTGAGTGGAAGAGGCAGGCAGAGCAAATACTGAGTCAAGGGTGGGCAACAGATTCTGCTTGTATCTGAGAGGTGGAAGGCTGAATGGGCAGGGCACTAAAAAGGGCTTGATAAGAAAATACCAAAGACTTCTGTGGTTCAGAGAGGGGCCAAGTGTTAGGAAGCATGGGGGCTGTCACCAACAGGTTACGGAGAATGAGATCCCTAACACTCTCCATTGACTAATTCATTCTTCCTTCCTTCCTTCCTTCTTTTTTTTCTTTTTTGTAGAAATCTCACTCTGTAACCCAAGCTGGAGTGCAGTGGCACGCTTACAGCCACTGCAGCCTCACCTGCTGTCTCAGGCGGTTCTTTCACCTCAGCCTTCCAAGTAGCTGGAACTACAGGAGTGCACCACCATGCCCAGCTAATTTCGATTTATTGTAGAGACAAGGTCTTGCCAATTTGCCTAGGCTGGTCTTGAACCCATGTGCTCAGGCAATCCTCTCGCCTCCACCTTCCAAAGTGCTGGGATTATAGGCATGAGCCACCACACCCAGCTTCTTCCTTCCTTCCTTCCTTTCTTCCTTCCTTCCTTCTCCCCTTCCCCTTCCTTCCTTCCTTTTTCTTTACTTCCTTCTTCTTTACTTCCTTCTCCTTTTCTTTTCCCTCCCTCCCTCCCTCCTTCCTTCCCTCCCTCCCTCCCTCCTTCCCTCCCTTCCTTTCATCAATCCATCTTATTTTCTTGGCAGATTTTCTATTTAAGGAATGATCCTCAAGTATATGATTTTGAAACAAAGGAAATTTCCTATATAATTGTCTTCTTACTAAAATCTTTCTTTGTAATGGTAGAAATGACTTTTCAGACATAGCTAAGATACCACTTAAGCTGGTAATAGCATCAGAGTGAATGGTTTAATGCCATTTGGGGTGATATTCTTCTAATATACTTTTTCTTTCTGCTGTCTACAGAATTTCCCATGTCCTACTTTGCAATGTAACCCAGAGGGTGTCATTCTGGTTTGTGGTTACAGATCCTTCGAAAACCCACACCATTCCTGCTGTTGAGGTACAGTCAGCCATAAGGTAATCACCTCTAAATATGTCTTTTGCTGGTCAATCAACTTGTTGAGTAATTCAACTTTTTAAAAATAGATACTGAAGAGTTTTCTCTTTGTTCCACACATGGTTTATTTATTAAAATGTCAAGGATTTCATTGGGTTAGTTTCTATTAGAGATTAGTGTAGATCAGTGGTTCTCATCTAGGGGCAATTTTGCTGTCAAGGAGACATTTGGCAATGTCTAGAAATATTTTTGTTATCACAACTGTGGGAGTTGGTGATGGTGCCACCAGCATTGAGTAAGCAGAAGTTAGGAATAATAATAATAATTTAACCCCAAATATCAATTGTGCTGTGGTTAGGAAACCCTGGTTTAAATATTAGCTGATAATATTTAGTATTGTCTTCTTTGGCAAGAACACCTTCTATTTCACTATTGTGTGATGGTTTGATATCACATGGGCTTGGGTGCCAGAATGCCTAGGTTTTAATTTCTGGCATTGTCTCATAACTATTTGAATATAGACAAATTACCTATCCTCTTTTTGCTTTCTTCTCATCATCATACAACATGAATAATTATGGTACCCCCTCTCTCAGAGTTGCTTAAAAGACTAAATGAGTTTATAAATGTAAAAAAAAATTGAGGGATGGGTCCTAACGTTGATTTTCATTTTAAAATCAAGAAAAATATTCACATTTCTCGGGTCTCTAAGAACTTCCATTTTCCAACTAACGTATAGTCTTTACCTTTAAGAGATATTTTTAAAAAATAAGGTTAAATCATGACTCTCACACAAATTAAAAATAAATGTTATCAAAGATTTTATTATCTCATTAATTAACGAGAGAACTAGTAAGATGTTAAAACCATTTCAAAGGAGACTTCAAAGAACCACACTTATATGGCAAAATGCATTTACAAAAAATGCATCAGTCTGTCTATCAGGGAGTAATCAACTCTGTTTCACCAGACACAATTCATTTTATTTTCTATGGACAAAGATAATTTACACTATGTCAGTTTTCTAGAACTTACAGATTTGTAAAATAGCTAGAAGACAATAAGAGTTAGAAATTGCCCAGAAATGTGCACTAGGCAAGACACTTGGGAAAATGTCCATTAATCTTTTTTGCCCATTCAAGCTTTTACAGTTTTTCCTGACAGTTGACCTCTTTCCCTTCTTGTGATCATAACCAACTCAAAGGTGAAGTTAATCCTTGACTTCCAAGAAGGATGCAATTTGTTTTTATTTCAATTAATGTGCATTTAGTGTGCGCCAGAACACACATAATTGATTTGGGCAAAACTATGTTGGAAGAGTGAATTCAGTAAATAAACAAGAACAAAGCAAAGTAACTCTCCCCACAAAAGGTTTAAAAGTTACTGAAATGTGTGTTATTCTCCTTACCAAGGAGAAATGCCTGGTAAAAGAACTTATTTGCTCTCTGTAAAATATTAACACTTAAGATAATTAGTATATAATCAAATGCCAAAGGTTTTTGTGAATAATCATCTATTTCTCCTGCTGAAGCAAAGACCCTGAGGAGGTATACCAATGGAAAATTGTTTGATCTGTCCTAACAAGGTTTAAACAAAATTGTTTCTGAACTTTTGCCACTAAGAATACTGTTAAGGCTCACCACTTAGGGAGTAAGAATTAGCAATATATTTCATGGGGAAAGGATTTTATTCAAGTCTTGTGATTTGTGAGGACTGTAAGGAAAATGAAGGCACTGTAGTTAAACAAGGCTTCAGTTGATAGGAGGAGGAAGAGTGAGTGCTTGGGGTCAAGGTCCAGGAAGTACATGAATAGGTTCACAACAAAATGTCAAGGGTCGTAGCAGGAGAAGGTATTTAATGGGTAGAGATGGTCTATAGAATGAGAATTTGTGTTAGGGAATGAGTAGGGTGCATCAGGAGTGGATGAAAGTAAAGGAAACAATATGAAGAAGGAAGAGTAGAGTGAAAAAAATGAGATGATACCTAGAGAACAGGTAATAGGAATTTCAAGGCTGAAGAGTCTATGTGACTGGGCAAAATAATACTAGTTCCACCTAATATTTGGATAGCACATTCTGGTTCGCAAGACATGGTCTTATGTATCTGTGGCATTTAATATTAACACCAATAAGTTTTGAGCAATTATTATTATTTTGAGTAATAATAATTATTATTTATAAGTGAAGAAACTGAGGCTCAGGGAGATGAATTGATTTGTTCAGACCACCATGCTAGAAGGAAATAGAGTGAGAACTTGAATCAGTGCATGTAGCCACCATATCCAGTGATTTTTTTCCTCTTTACCTGAGTATTCATGCCTATGGAATGAGGTCAGGTAATGATCAACCAGTTCTAAGATGTCTGTTGTAGTTCTTTTGTGAGGGCCTGGCCTAATTCAACACCTGTCTTGGCTCCATGGTGATTGATACCAATTGGGATTCCAGTGGTGGAACAGATTTAATCTGTACCTGAGTTAGAACTTCCAATCAGCCTGAGAGATGATGGAGTACAGTCCTAGCCTAGAGTGAGAAAGTAGCAAAGGTTTAACCAACCAGGTAGATAGAATGAGAATGCAGAGCAACTATTCATTCTTCTCAAAGTTAAATCCTAGCAGTGGGGTTCATTATGTTGTGGAAAGGGTTGTGTTCCCAGATTATCAATATTAGGTTATGAAAAAAGAAAACATTCCATTGTTTGATAAAAATTATATTGCAAGTATTCCTTGTTTTAGATTTTCTGACTGGGGTTCACTTTCACATCCATAGATTGTTTGCCAAACAAGGTTTTCCCTGATAGCCTGGTGCTGGTCTGGAGAGAGTCTCAAGCCAGGCTTTAGACCTAGGCTGTTCAATACTGTAGCTACCAACCACATGTGGTTATCAAGCAATAGAAAAGTGGCTAGTCCAAAATGAGACGTGCTCTAAGTGTAAAATATACACCAACTTTCAAAGATGGTACAAAATTTAAAAAATGGACTAATTCAATAGTGATTACATGTGAAATTATATTAATATTTTCTTGGATATATTGAACAAAAAATATATTATTAAAATTAATTTCACCTGTTTCTTTTTACTTTATTTAGTACATCTACTAGAAAATTTTAAGTCACATGAGGCTCATGCTATGTTTCTATTTTCCAGGGCTGCTCTAGAGGTAGATGAAGTCAGCTCGTGTAGTATGAATTCGGTTAAGGTCCTAAAATATCTCCAAAGACACTTCTCACCTAGTTTGCAAATTCCAGTCAGAAACTCACTTACTTGATTTCAATTAAATAAGTCTTTGCTACCACCTTTTCCCTAACTGCCGTCACCACCAAAAATACAGATGCTTCCAAGGAGAAGTAATGTATTTTTCTAAAGTTTTGAAATCCCAAGCCACCATTGCCTTTAGTCCTTTACCATGTCTCCATTCCTGTGCTTACTACACACCTTGGTTTAAAGAACTCCTACTTGTCTCTTAAACTATGGTTCAAAAATTGCCTCCACAGGAAAGCAGCCCTGACTTTTCCTTATAGTATACTTGGCCTTCCATTCTGCTCCCATTGTACCCATATTTGCCTTCTGCAGGCAACATTTTGGACTGCACTGTGGTTGTAGATGTACTAATCTTCCACACTTTTACACTGTTGGTGAGAGTGTAAACTAGTAAAACCTCTGTGGAAAACAGTGTGGGGATTTCTAAAAGATCTAATTATCCACCTTCCACACAACCCAGCAATCCCCCTTCTGGGAATATACACAGAGGAACTCAAATCACTCTAGGAGAGTGCTTTATTTATAGAGATATTTATAATCATGGAGAGACAGGTTTGTAATTTGTTTCTAATGTTTTTTTCCCTGTCTTCTTTTGTTTGTTTTTAATCATCATTGTATTTTAGAATGAATAGGAACCGGATCAACAATGCCTTCTTTTTAAATGACCAGACTCTGGAATTTTTAAAAATTCCTTCCACTCTTGCACCACCCACAGACCCACCTGTGCCCATCTGGATTATTATATTTGGTGTGATATTTTGCATTGTCATAGTTGCAATTATGCTACTGGTTTTATCAGGGATCCGACAACGTAGAAGGTAAGATACTTAAAGGGAGTGATTTAAAGAGCATTTCCATTGGCAATAGTGGGAAACTGCCAGGGAATAAGAGACACACTTCATCAATAAGGGTACCTGATCTCAAACCAGGTGAAGTGGGGACCAAAGTGAGGCCCAAACCTTATCTGTGCAGTGACCATTTGTATACCTAACCCTGAATTGTACTCCACATCTTTAAAATAAAAATTTTTTTAAAAGAACATTTTCCTATTTCATCATGACTTGGAAAAATAAGGAGAGGATTTTTCTCTGGCTGAAGATAATGCCTTAACTTTGAAACTTTTAAAAAATTGGTGATTTTCAAACTATCACTTAGGCTCTTATCTTCAGATATTTTTGTTGTCCAACGTCCCTTATTTAACTAGGATCCTTTTGTTACTATCTTTTCCTCTATTCTATACCAGATGAATATTTCATATCCAGACTTGATTTTTATATCTGCCTTGTGATTTTGTAAACTGGATACATGGAGTTTAGCAGACTTTTCGGGTAGACAGAGCTTATCTTTGGTAGTCCTCCACATCCAAATACCAGCAATTCCACAGTTCTTTCTATGCCTCTCTGCCTAACCTTGCCTCTTTTTGGCCCAGTGCCTGAAGGCCACCATCTTGTTCTAGATGCCCTTGTGCTGTTTTAGACTTTTCTCCCTTTGATGGATGCTTATCCCTCTAGTGCCTTTGATATTGTAGAGCTGTATTTCTCATGGCCTTTGAATCAACTCCTCGCATCAGAATAATCTAGAACTCTTGTTTAAAATGTAGGTTCCTTGGCCCTACAGCAGACTCACTAAATGAGAATCTCTGAAGGAATGCATTTTAATGAGTCCCCAGGTTATTCTAATTCACTTAGTTTGAGAGCTTTCAACTTAATTTATAGATAGATTCCCACTTTGTGAGTTCATTTACCTGATTCTGGGGTACTTGAAAACTTTGATGTCTAAATTATTGATAATGTTTCAAAAGAGAATTTCAGACCAGTGGGAGAGTTACTGAGGTAGAGTAGGGAAGAAGAGTTAACAGGGTTTCTCAACATAATTTTGTTTACAAGTACCTCTGAATCTAGAGGAAAAGAAGGGAAAATCCTTAGCTCTTCACTAAACACTTTGATGCTTCTAAACCTTCTTTTTTGATACTGAGGAAGAACAATTCTGGTAAGTGGCAATCACAGGGACATACATTTCAAAATAACAGGGGCATGGTTTTCAAAAGTGTTGGTACCTACATGGGACATATGGGGTGTATTTAGCCAAGTGAGTATGTATTTGACTAGATTCTTCTGAAGTTTACTACTTTCCATATGTTTCACCCTAGTTACTAACAGAAGGTAATCATTTTAAATCTTGGGCTTTATAATTTTTTCCACAAATGATAAGTGAAATGCTATGGAATAGATGTAGTTTATATCTAGTCCTCAAGTTAAACTCAAAAATTAGGATCAAGTTGTACTTGCTTGATTTTCTTGATGATTTTGGCATGATATGTAATGCAAAGAGAAGTTTATGCAGGTTTGGTTTGTTTTCGTTTTGAAATATTAAGGAATATTCTCTTGAAATACTTGAATGCCTATGTTTAATAGTTTTGTTTTGTATTAATCCTAAGATGCTGTGATTCTGTGGTTTCTAATAATTGTAACCTTAGTGAATTCACTCCATCTTCTTGGTTCCCAATGTCCTCACTAGTACAATATAGTGTAGGAGTTAGAAGAAAGGACTGTGGAGATAGATTGCCCAGATTCAAAGTATTTATTGCTTAGGTTCTTCTCTTGTATATAATCCATTAACTGTATGTATATCAGGAAGCACAAACAATGAGTCAGGGAAACTGAGTTCAGGAGAATGTAATTTGTGGTGCTAGAGTCAAGTTGATTAAGTTTATCCTTGCTGTCTATGCATAGATAACTTTTTTTAGAGTGACAGCAAGGTGTACTAGAAATAGTTAAATTGGTGGGATAAAAAGAGTTAATACAGTAGAGTACTTAGAGTGGTACTTGGCACACAGTGAGTGCTCAGTAAGTGTTAGCTGTTACTATTATTTTATGATCATGCCATTTGCTGGTCTTTCAGGTAGTTTGTGCTGGGATCAACTATCTCTTTCCTTCTGAGCAGATTCTGCAGTAATATAATAATTGGGTGTGTAGCATCATAATCTGTTGCCTGGAAGAAGTGAGGCTGTTGTCACAACCTTGCCTTCACAAATTCATTTCATGTTCTAACTAGGAAAACAGATGGAGAAATCTCTTGTGTAAACCTGGCGAGCATCAATCGTTAGCAAATATAGTCAGGACAATTATGACAACCTTCTAAGGATAAATTGTTTGTTGTGTTTTAAGTTTGATACAATTCATGGTGGGTTTTTGGAGGGCAAAATATTGCTTTAAAGGTGAGGAGAGGTGTAGCTCGAAATGAGGAGAGGTCTGATGATTGTGATGAAAGCCTTTTATAGTCATAGTTTTGAGGAAGACAGTCAAATAAATGTTGAACAATCCAATCCATACATTAGATAATAATGAACATAGTGTGTGTAGTACAAAATCTTAAGCTTAGAAGACCTGGAGGGACTATGGAATTATCCAAGCCATTATTCTGATTCTATGGAGAAGAGTGTCAAGGTCATCTACTATATTTGCATATATAAACATACTATTTAGGACATTTCTCAAGCAAAACTTTAACAATTCTGTTATCTTTGTCAATAACACCATTGTATTGATTATTCAGGGCCACTGGGTGGAAACTATGCAATAACTGGAGCCCAAACTAAGTAAACTGAAATACCAGCTATGCCCTTTACTTATATGATCTTGGTTGAGTCTCCTGATTTATAAGGACCTTAGTTTTTCCATCTGCAATAGGGAGATGCTATTTCACAGGGTTTTCATGAAGATTGACTGACATACATATACCTGAAGGATAAAGTATGTACTAAGTAAACAGAATTAGTATTATCCAAGTTCAGCTTAACCTAATACTGTGATTAAAGGATGCTGGGAAAGGATCTGTTTTCCATCCAGATATTACCATCATACTGTAGAATCTTCTCCAATTCACCAACTCATTGCTTGGGATTTTATTAGTTAATAAGCACCTACTTCACTTTGTTAAAGTATCATTGACAAATAAATATTGTATATATTTATGGTATACAAAGTGATGTTTTGATATATACATACATTGCAAAAGGGTTAACTCAAGCCAATCGACATATCTATCTCCTCACACACTTATTTTGAGGGGGTAAAAACATTTAAGATCTCCTCTTAGCAATTTTCAAGTATACAATACATTATTATTAACTATAGTCATCATGCTGTACAATAGATTGCCCAAACTTATTGCTCCTAACTGAAAGTTTGTACCCTTTGACCAACGTTTCCCTAACCCCCATCCTACCCTCAGCTTCCAGCAACCACCACTCTACTCTGTGCTTCTATGAGTTCAACTTTTTTAGATTCCACATTTAAGTGAGACAATGTGGCACTTATCTTTCTGTGCCTGGCTTATTTTACTTAGCATAACATCTTCTAGGTTCATCTGTGTTGGCACAAATGGCAGGATTTTTTTTCTTTTTTAAGACTGAACAGAATTCCATTGTGTGTGTCTGTGTATACATATATTTACATTTTCTTTATCCATTCATCCACTGATAGACACTTAGGTTGATTCTATGCCTTGGCTCTTGTGAATAGAGCTGCATGGACTAATGAACATGGGAGTGCAGCTATTTCTGTGACACGCAGATTTCATCCCCTTTGAATATATGCCTAAAAGTGGAACTACTGGATCATGTGGTAGTTCTATTTTTAAGTTTTTGGCGAACCTCTGTACTGTTTTCCATAATGGCTGTAGTAATTTACATTCCCTGCAAAAGTGTACAAGTATTCTCTTTTTTTCACATTCTGGCCAACACTTGCTATCTTTCATCTTTTTTTTTTTTTTTTTTTTTTTTGAGTTGGAGTCTCACTCTGTCGCCCAGACTGGAGTGCAGTGGCCGCTCCTGGCCACCGCAGCCTCGACCTGCTGGGCTCCGGCAGTCCTTCTGCCTCAGCCTTCCAAGTAGCCGGAATTACAGGCATGCACTACCACACTCGGCTGATTTTTTTTGATTTATTGTAGAGATGAGGTCTCGCTGCCCAGGCGGGTCTCAAACCCGTGGGCTCAGGCAATCCACTCACCTCAGCCTCCCAAAGGCACGGGATTACAGGCTGAGCCACCGAGCCTGGCTATCATCTTTTTGACAATAATCATTCTAACAGGTATGAGGTGATATCTCATTGTGGTCTTAACGGTCCTTCACCCATTTTTAAATTGAGTTGTTTTCTTGCTATGAGTTGAGTTCCTTATATGATTTGGATATTAATCTTTTTGCTGTGCAGAAGCTTTTTAATTTGGCATAAATCCCATTTGTCTATTTTGCTTTGATTGCTGTAGTTTTGGGGTCATATTAAAAAACTCATTGCCCAGATCAATGTCATGGAGATTTTCCCCTATGCTTTCTTCTAGTAGTTTTACAGTTTTAGATCTTACATTTAAGTCTTTAATTCATTTTGAGTTGATTGTTGTATTTGGTGTAAGACAATGGTCTGGTTTCATTCTTCTGCATTTAAATATCCAGTTTTCCTAACACCATTTACTGAAGAGATTGTTCTTTTTCCACTGTGTGTTCTTGGCATCTTTGTTGAAGATTGGTTGATTGTAAATGCATGAATTTATCTGTGTGCTTGTTTTATTGGTCTGCGCGTCTATTTTGATGCCACTTCCATGCTGAGTACACAGTTGTTTTTTTTTGTTTATTTTTTTTTGAGTTGGAATCTCACTTTGTCACCCAGACTGGAGTGCAGCCACCACAGCCTCAACCTGCTGGGCTCCGGTGATCCTTCTGCCTCAGCCTTCCAAGTAGCTGGAACTATAGGTGTGTACTACCACACCTGGCTGGTTTTTGATTTATTGTAGAGATGCGGTCTCACCAAGTTGCCCAGGCGGG